ACGAAGAAATCAAGCAAGCAATTCGAGTACGTAGAGAGTCACACGCAAAATATGCGGCAGGGAAAACAGGATGCAGGATGGAAGGAGTATGTTGAAAGTAGAAAGAGGGTGAAGGAGTTGGTCGTGAAGAAGAAGAAAGGGTTGTGGGAGGAAGTAGTCCAAAAGACTAACGAAGATTTTGAGGGGGGGATGAAGCAAATGTGGGTAGGAATTCAAGGGATAGTGGGCAACAAAAGAGGGGGAGACACGGAAATAACGACACTAAGATCTGCCGAGGGTAAGATGGTAAGCAGTTATAAAGGAAAGAGGGAAGTACTAGTAGAGCACTACCGCAAACTTGGGACACCCACCGCCAACGACAACTTCGACTCGGAGTTTGAGAAGGAAATCAACTCGTGGGCAGAGGAAAACGTTGAAAGATCTCAGAGGGAACGTAGTGATGTAGACGGGTTGCAGGGAGAGTTCACACGAGAAGAGGTAGAGGACTGCGTAGCGAAACTCAAGAATAGAAAAGCGGCAGGGGCTGATGGAATTGTGAACGAGCTTTTGAAACAGGGGGGGGAGGGGATGATTAACATGTTGGTCCGGATATTCAACTGGATATGGAAACACGAGTACGCGCCGAAGAGATGGAGAGAAGGAGTAGTCGTGAACCTGTTCAAAAAGGGGGATAAAGCTGACCCGGGGAATTATAGAGGGATAACCCTGTTGAGCACAGTGGGGAAACTGTTTGGCAAGATGATAGACAATAGAATGGGAGACATGTTGGAGGGGAAACAAAAGATCAGCGAAGGACAAGCTGGATTGAGACCAGATCGTAGTTGTGTAGACCATGTATATACGTTGAGTAAAATCATCCAAGGTAGGAAAGACGCCGGGCGTACGACATACTGTTTCTTCCTCGATATACAAAAAGCCTACGACACCGTATGGCGCAATGGATTGTGGAAAAAGATGTGGGACATCGGCATCCGGGGGAAAATGTGGAGGATGTTGAAAAAGATGACAGAATGCACAAGAAGTGCGGTGATGTTGGATGGGGAAATTTCGAAGTACGTGGATATACTCCAAGGAGTCGCACAGGGCTGTACGATGTCACCCACTCTATTTAAGATTTACATCAACGATTTGATAAGGGCGGTTGAAGCAGTAAGACAGGGAGTCCAAGTAGAGGGAAAGAGTGTGTCCGGACTGATGTTTGCAGATGATTTCGTGGGGGTATCCGAAACACCAGAAGGGTTGCAAGAACAAATAGATGCGGCGGTAGGATACACCCGAAAATGGAGACTGTCGGCGAACGTAGGAAAATGCGCAGTAGTGGTCTGTAACGAAGATAAGAAAAATCCCGTAGAATTCAAATGGAAATGGGGGGAGGAAGAACTACCGGTAGTAGACAAGTATACGTACCTGGGAGTAGAGATTTCGAAGAAGTGCTCATGGGACGCACACATAGCAAAGTTGATTGGGAAGGGTAAAGCTCAGATAGGCAAGATGGATGAGATCCTTACGGACCCACACCTAGACTCTAGGATTAAGAGGTGTATTCTCTTGAAGGTGATTGTACCTAAGCTAGAGTATGCAGGAGAGATATGGGAAGGTAACGAAAAGGCCGTCAAGCAGCTGGAAACGGTGCAGATGGCAGCGGCCAAGAAAATACTAGGATGTTCAAGTACAACGAGCAACACTGTATTGAGAGCAGAATTGGGAATGTACTCTCTTAAAACAAAGAGAGACATGCAGAAGTTGAAGTGGCAGTACAAGGTAAGTAGAATGTCGGACGATAGACTACCAGCCATGGTGGACGAGGCAGCTTGGG